GATTAAGTGTCCAGTACTGAATGACCTGCAGATCCAGCGTGCCCAGCATTGGTGTCCCAGTGACCGTCAGGTTTCTTCCATGCACAGCCAGGTTTTGAGCTATTTTCTGTAGCTCAGTGTCACAGTTCACTCATGTTCGCAGCTGGGTGAAGTAATTAGTACCAGCTCTTCAGAGAAAAGATTTTTGCAAGCAGTGAGAACGTTAGCATGAGCTTGGTGTGGAATTAATTGGGTTGGGCCAAGCCCGGAAGAGGAGCAGAGCTTGCCGCTGGGACACCTCCTGAGGTAACATCTGCTGGGTGCATTTCAGGCTTTCCACAGCTCTCCAGTCCCAGGGCTGAGTTGGAGTGAGCTGGGCACTTTGCCTCTGCGTCGCAGCAAGATTGGATTGGTGCTCTAACCCAGACTTAGTTTCCCTAGCACGGCAGCACTGGGTTATACAGCTGAAAAATAACGGGGTGGTGAAGTGCAGATGCAATAGGTCAGATGAGTGCTGCCATTCCCTTGCCAGGTAACATTTCGTGTATGTGACAAATGCAGCAAAGGGAGCTGATCCCAAAAGGGTGGTGGTACCTGGCTGTGTTTCTGGGTCACACTGCCACCCAGGAGATGGGTGCAGGAGGAAGCTTTAATGAGGCAGAACTCAGACATGGTCTGGTGGCCTGTTTGGTTAAGCTGTGGTCTCAGGAGATCTCTTGGCAATGACAAAGGCAGAGACAGTTGTGTTGTCTTGCTCTCCTGAGAGAAACTCTTGGAAAATTACATTTTCAGTGATTCCTTATTCATCAGCCCTCCTCCAGCCTGCTAGAGACCGATGGCTGCCATTTGGGATGCGCATGTATCCTGCTCCTGGCCGGCCAGTCCCGCTGCACAGCCTTGTTCAGCCCCAGGAGCTCAGAGGCGCTGCAGCCATCCACGCCTGCTTTGATTTATGGCAAAAGCAGGGGATCCAAAACCGTGGGGGTTGTTTTTAACTCTAGCTCTGTGAAGCAGTGCAGAGTTTCTGTTTTCGGGCATTGTTTCAGGCATCATTTTCGGGTACATCTCTGCTCTGGAAAGAGGTGAGCACTGGAGCCGGGCTGAGCACGTTCAGAAATGGCCTTTCAGGGAGGGATTATGTGGCAGGAGGAGGAAGGCTCCCAGCCACCGGCATGGTCCCCCTCTTGCTTCTACCGTGGCAGAGCTCGGGGCAGGAGGGAGGGTGTCCTCTCCATCTCCCCGGGTGAAGGAAAACAGCAGCCCCAGGGGAGCTGGCTTTGCTGCCTGCACAGGGCACGTAGCTGTGTCCCCAGGTCCCTGGGTGCCAGCAGCCATGCAGCAGCTCTCTCTTAGTCACAACTTGTTTCTAGCAGGATTAAGAGAAGCTTAGGGACTTTGAGGTTTTCCAAACCCCTTCAATTAACTTCTGGCTCACAAGGTTCACAGAATTTGCCTGAATTTATGACCCATTTTTCCTTTAAATGCCTCTTTTTTTTTCCCAAGGATGATTCAATTCCTTAATGTTTTTCTAGCTAAAGGGCATCCTGTGCTTTGATATGGCAATGGGAGAGGCTCCGAGAGCTCTGCTGGCACCAGGAGTGGACCCTGGCTTCTTAGGATGCTGCATCTTCTCCAAAGGTCTCCCAGGCAGAGCAGGCACCAGGAGAGTTGTTCAGTTGAACTTTAGACCTCTCATGCCTTTAGAAAGAGGTGAAAAGATTGTGTCTGGTCTCGGTTTGCAATGCCAATGTTTATGTGGGCATGCCATTAAAAAGGTGCTCTGCGCGCAAGCCAATGTTTAAAGGTTAGGGTCAGAGTCATTTCCAAAACTGTGATTACCTCATGTGCTTGGCAAATTCTGGTTTTTATAGCAACTTTCCAGTCACGTAAATACAAAATCATCTTTGTTATCCAGCGTGCTTTTTAAATATTTTTTTAAAGCTGCCGAATTTGTTTTATGTGACTTTGAAAGAGAAGACTGCCTCTGGCTTAGACCACACATGCCAAATTACCAATTTGTGTAGGCTGCAATGTTTATGCAGCATTTACGGCACCCCAGATGAAAGGCTCTACAGAAGAGCAAAGTACCCTGATTTTTATTATTGCTACTTTTGTCTACCTCTGAAAATGGGGTTAGGACTGCGCTGAAGCTTTCAGTCTAGTGATGGCACCACGTAGCAGAACCCGGGTCTGTGGGCTGGAAGCAGAGACCAGACCAACATCCTGAGAGTCAGGAAAACACAGGAGATTTAAAGTCACTGAGGTTTTGGGGATGGCGGCTGCCTTGCCACCCTGCACAGATGGGACGGGCAGCAAAGCCTCTGGGGCACATCCCGCTGGGAGCTCCATCCCCTCCAACCTCCATCTACAGCTGGGAGGGGTGCCCAGGGAAGCCGCGGGGAGCAGGAGCAGTCCTGTCTGCACAGCCCTGGAGATGTAGGTCAGCAGAAAGCTGCGCTGAGCTATTTTGGCCACAGCGGCAATAATCCAGAGCAGTCTGAGCAGTGTTTGCGTTATTGTCCCCAGGCGCGCATCCAGCCCTGCGTGTTCGGTGCGCACCAGGAGTGTGCTGATGGTGACGTGGGGCTGCTGCCATGGGCTTGGGATGCTCTGCCTTGCCCAGAGCTTACTGATGACTCCCCAGGCTGGCGGTGCTGCGGGAAGGGCCATCCCCTCTCAAAACCTAGGGACGGATTTCTTCAGCATAAAGGGGCTAAGCTAGAACCTGCGCCTTCCTTGTAGCTGCCATCCAGTCTTTCCAAGTGCTGTTCACTCCTTCACTGGCCTCGGCATGCAGCTGTGTGTCAAGAGAGCTGGTGGTTGGAGCAAAGGATGCTGCTGAGGGCCCTGTGTGTTAATTCAGCATCTCCATCCAGGCTCTGCAGATGGGCTGGCAGGTGGGCTGATACTCAGCAGGTCGCTTGTATTTTTACATGGCAGGTTGAAGCCCCAGAAGAGACCAGGCAGCGGCGCATCCCAGCCGTGCGAGAACATTGTGGTCGCTTACTATTTCTGCGGAGAGCCCATCCCTTACCGCACCCTCGTCAAAGGGCGTGTGGTGACACTGGGACAGTTCAAGGAGCTGCTGACCAAGAAAGGGAACTACAGGTAAGGGCTGCTCCCTGCATGCGGTTATGGTGCCAGCAGACTGTCAGTGACCCCTGGCAGATGCCGCTGCCAGGACACAGCAGTGTTGCCCCCTCCAAGGTGAAGGAGCATGGTGGAGGTAGGTCAGGGAGGTCCTGGAGCCTTCCAGGAGGGCTCCCACAGGGCATGCTGCACTGGGGATGTTGCAGCACAGCCAAGGTTGGCTGTTGAAGAGGCAGGTTACAGGGACAAGGGAGATTGGGTTTTGTAGCAGAAATGTCCTGCATCATGGTTTGCACCTTCAACAGAAGCTGCTGAGCTGCCCTGCAGGGACCCTGCAGGGTCCTGGACTGGTGAGGAGCAGCATCAGCCGGTGGTGCTCAGTGGTGCTATGGGAAACCCTCCAATTTCCAGAGCCATTTTGGCTCCTCCCAAAATTTACTCCAGTGAGGACAGGGAGGTTGGGTCCAGCCAGAGTCCCAAAGCAGCCAGGCATGGGGTGTGTAGCTCTCCACGTTCCCCCTTCCAAGTAGGAGCTGTCATGGGAAAGCCTGCCTAGAAATGCTCCACCAACATGGGTGCCTCCAGCTACTGCTTTTGACAGAGCTGTGAATGGGCTTGGATTCAGGGCTGGAGCTCCTGAATGTACCAGCATGGATCCTGACCACTTTTTTTTTGCTCACTGGGTGAGGGCAGGGGCACAAGTGCGGCCCCAGTTGCCTCCATGTCTGGGGGAGCTCCCCATGCACCACGACCTCATGGCCATGGAAGGCCTGTACCCAGGTTTGGGGACTGTGGTGCCCATGACCATTCACCTGTTTTTTTTTCTTCTCTGCCCCCATGTTTCTGGTTTTTCAGGTATTACTTTAAAAAAGTGAGTGACGAGTTTGACTGTGGTGTGGTCTTTGAGGAGGTGCGGGAGGATGACACCATCCTGCCCATCTTCGAAGAGAAGATCATCGGGAAGGTGGAGAAGATCGACTAAGCTCCAGGGCTGCCGAGGCATGAGGACAGGACTGTGAAAGACTCTGGGACCGGAGGAGAGGGCCTGTGGCGAATGCTGGTGGTGCTACTGCCACGGGCACCAGGCGAGCCCAGGGCAGAGGGCAGCAGCCTGCTCCAGCATGGACCTGGGCAAGCTCCAGGTTGGCGGTGGACACCAACCCATGAGCATGCCAGTGGGAGCCTGGGCTCCCTCTCCATACCGAATATAAGTGTAATGTAGCATTGTACAGTGCATTAGAAAGTGTAATATGACCTTGTTTACTAAAGCTGCATATTTTTGATATATTGTAATAAAAGGAAAATATTTCCAATGTCACAGTGCTCTTATGTAAATGTAAAACACAGGTACTGCAGAACTCGCCCAAAGTGTACAGCCATCCGCCAGACTCCGTCTGCTCCTCGCTTTCACGGCACCCTGCCCTGGCCCCCC